AGAGCTCAGGGGGAGTAACATGAGGCAGGCAGACAGGTTGCAAGGTGGCAGAAGACTTACATTCATAACGGTTCTGGTCTGTTTCCTGAGAATTAGGGAGGTCCAAGTTCATTCTGCTCAGACCATGCCTCATTTAGCACTGCATAGCATCCTGCATCCCAAACTTGTTTCCAGTCCTTCATCAATTTTCACATGTACATGCCTTTTTATTTTTTATTTTTGGTGCCTCATGCCTTTGTCTTTGAGTTATTATTATTGCCATCATCATTATTATTTTGTCAAGGACATGCAAAAGCCTGTTCTGAGGAGTGAAAAAATCCTAGACATTGTTGTATGTTTAAACATGACAATTGGAATCAGAGCACATGTAAGGAATCCTGTACTCAATCTTAACAAGGACAATTTTTTAATTTCATTATTAAGAAACGTTTTATAGGAATTGTCACAAAAGAGTCTACAGTTTATCACCATTGATTCAATAATTACTATTTTTGAAACTTTCAAAGAGAGTTTAATTTACATTGAGTTAGGAAATTTTCCTTTCTTCCCAGTGGTATGTATTCTGCATACATGAATAATACATACAAACTCAGAGAGATAATCCAAACTGCATTTGCAATTCATAAAATTTAAATCACCTCTGTGAAGATTTATATAAGATAACAATGCCCAGGTCATCTCTAAGTTCTGTGTTTTTATATCATTTTTAGAGATGTGGATTAATAAACACTTTGTGTTACACCTGTGCATGATTTTACATTTCAGGGAAATGACCCTTAAAATTACTTTGACTATTTGTCTTTTGAGACAGGCTCTTGATATATAGCCCAGGCTAGCTCACATTTGCTCTGTACCTCAGGTTATCCTCTAGCTTTCTGTCGCCTGCCTTAGCCTCTGGATGCTAGGATTGCTTCCTATTTCCTAGCCTCCAAAGACTTCTGCTTTTAAAGAATACGTTATTAAACTGCTGGAGAAATGGTTATGTCTGCAACCAGAGTATGAAGAGCTAAGTTTAGGTGCTCAGAAAGCACAGGAAAAGCTGGTCATGACGGCACATATACCTGTAACCCCAGGACTTTTGGGAAGGGGACAAGCAAACACCGGGAGTGCAATGGTCATACAGGACAGAGGAGATGTGTATGTCTGTTCTCAGTGCATCGATGAGCTCCGAGTTCAGCGAGAGAGTCTGTCTTAAAAATACCGTGGAGGGTGATGAGCAGGACATTTACTTCACTTCAGCCTCTGTCCTTGCATCCGTGCATCCATGTGCACACATGTGCACACTCCCAAGGGAGGATATGTAGATATATATACTCGCACATTTTACATTTTGCATTCTGCAGTTGCCCTGGAAGGGGGAGTTGTTTTGTCAGATCTAAAAATCTTAGACAATACCTGGCATAATTCTGGTTCACATTCTAAAAATAGCATGAATAGTGTTTGAAAATGTTTTAAAATTTCAGCTTTAACCTGTTCTGATACAAGAATGGGTAGGATCCTTGGGGTCCTGGACAAAAAAAAATCAGAAAATATTTTAATATTCATGGTTCATGAACATTTTGTGTGGAACATCACTGGGATGCACAGAGATATACTTCGTGTGCTCAGGGCTGCGGTCCACCCTGGATTTCAGGGTGTAGTGTGCTGCGTATCTGATGGGAAAAGGCCTATAGCCACTCTTCGAAGGACTGACGCTCGAGCTGTTAAGTTTCAGTTTCATTATGCTTAGAAGCTGCCTCAAAGAGGATCTGATTTCTGAATGACTGCCGTGGAGTGTTTTCAAATACAGTATTTCTCTCCCATACTATTACTAAAGATTTTCCAACAATGCAAGCTATATGTGCGTGACTTTACAAGGATACAGCAATCAAGAGGAAAACAGATGACCTCAGTCAAGAACCTGTAACTATGCTGGGTTTATTTTTATTGAATGAACAGCTTTGTTCCACTGTAAGAGTTGGTGGTCAGAGAGCACTCAATATTACAACCTATAAATTTGAAAAATACCTTTTAAGTCAAAATCGTCAGTTATATATTTTCCTTGTCCACATTGAATCACTAATAATTATTATTTTATCTTGGACTTCCAGCCAGCTTCGACAGCTCATAGTGACTGACTTTTAAAGTTCCTTGGCAGTAGTATTTATTTCAATGTCACCAGTTAAGCCAAAACACTGAAAAGATCTCCCTTTTCCTACGTCATTCTCCAGGGTAATTTCATCCTCCTCCGTCAGTATTTGGTTCATCATTTTCTTACCTCTTTTAACTTATTCCTTGCATTCCAAGTCCGTGCTCAATATTTTAGAGATTTTTTTGTCATTTTTATGGGGCCTTGAGTAAGAAATTGTTTCAATAAAAAATAATTATTTGGATATAAGATTAAAGCCAATTTGTTGTATGGTTGAATTTCACTTCAGCAATCTTTTAGTAATAACCATATTGTCTGATGAACAAATCACAACTTTCCACATTGAACAAGGAAAATCATATAACTCAATTTGCTTGAAATTCTTTCATAAAAGAATAAACTTTAGAGAAGTTGAAAATTAAAGACTACATTGCTTTAGCAATATTGCATATGAAAATATAGTTGGCAGTTAGCCAGTTTCAGCAATAAAAAATTAGCCAAAATCTTTTTTTCTTAAGTGTTAAAGCATCAGATATATATATATATATGTATATATATATATATATATATATATATAATTTTGGAGTTTTCTGTTTATATTGTACATTAGATGAAAGAGAAAGCTTAAAACAATTATTGGAAGTGTTTGATTACAAGTACTAACCCATTTTGGCTTTATTCCCAATGAATGAGAAGCCAAATCAAAAATAATAGTAGCTTATTTTGCCTGATTTTTAAAAAAAACTGTAAAACCAGCTAGCTCTATATTCTGCTAAGTATAGCTGATTCTATGGAGATAATTTTCAGATGAGGCTGTGATGACTGAAGTGAGCATGTAGAGCTGTTACCTGGTTACAGATATCCCTACCTTCTACGTTCAAAGTTGATGCCTCTTGTGGGGTCTCAACATGGGCCAGCTGTGGCTGTAGATTAGGCAATCCTTGCTTCATAATGCTTTCAAAGCCACAGGGTGGAAAATGGGCCAGGGATATTCAAGCAAATGCTGCTTCCCTGTCAGGAGTCTCCACCTCACCTGTCTATTTAGCAAACTGCTGGAATTTCTTGCGCCCTCATGTTTTAAAGGAGAAATATGAAAATAATCATATTCAGGTGAATAAAGACGTCTCTATTAGTAAGATGTGAATGCCTCTAATTCCACTCTTGCTCTATATTCCCTGAAATAAGAAAAGATGTGTTTATTTTTAGAGTGAAAATCCAGCGTGGTGGAAGCCACTACTGGACACTTAGACCACAGGATGTATGTCAATCTAATAATCTCTTTTTAGCGTATGTTCTTTTTGTGGGTTAAGTTTCTACAGAAAGCCGAGACTAACAGAGTGAGAGATGTGACCAGGATGACAGCACAGCTTCCCAAGTGCTTGCTACACAATCATGAAGATCCAACTTGAATGCTAAGAACCCATATTTTGAAAACTATCTGGCTGTGGTAGCATATGCTTTTAACCCCAGCACTGGGAAGCTGTGCACTCCCCAGAGAAGGTGCCTGGGGCTCACTGTCCAGCCAGCCTAGCATAATCAAGGAGCCATGGGTCCCAGTGAGATAAGCAGTCTCACAAAACAAAGAAATGGTGTCTCTGAAGGAACAACCCTTGATGCTGCCATCTGGCCTTCCCTTGCGTGTGGACACATGGACACCAGCACACACATGTGCATGCATGGACAGTCAAATGCACACATACTCAAGACATACTTAAGTGATTTAGTCTCATTCTTTCACAAGTGACTATCCATGTCTGCTAGCAGTTTATTGAAGAGGCTGTCTTTTTCTCTGACTTAGATTTTTGGCACCTGTGTCAAAATCAGGAGACTATGCCCGTGTGACTTTGTACCTGTGTCTTCCACCTGTTCTTAGGAACAATGTATCCCGCTTTATGACAGTGCCATACTATTTTTGTTACCATGTCCTTTAGTACGATTTGAAATCAGGTATGGTGAGACCTCAGCATTGCCATTTTACTAGGCATTGCCTTGAAAGTCTGGGTTCTTTTGTGCTTCCACATGGCTTTCATAATGATTTTTTCCTATTTCTGTGAAGAAAGTTACTGAAATATTTATCAGAGATAGAATTGAATCTGTAAATGATTTTACATGGTATGATATTTTTCATGATATTTATTCTAATGGATGAGCCTGGTAGTCCTTCCATCCTCTAAAGAAATAGCAAGGTTTTACCTCATACCAGATGTGGAAACATGCAGATATGGATTACAATCTACTTCAACTAGGAAAACTATAGAACTGTTAGAAAACAGCTGCATTAGTTAATACTGCTATGATGTAACACCATGACCAAGGTAATATATAAGAGAAATATTTAATTCAGGACTTGCTTACCGGACCTTTCCAGTGGACTTCTGGAAGCCCATTGAGGCCTACAACTCAGCACACTATTGCCTAGGGAGCACTTGACTGAGCCCCTAAAACCTGCTGCGCGGGCTTAAGTGGGGAAAATATGACTATGCAGAGGCCCCCACCCCCACCATGTGGTACTCTGAAATTACAGGTGTTTGAGTATCATCACTCAGAGCTTCAGCTTTTCAGCTGCCAATCCTAGAGAGAGTCAAGGAATGTGGATAAAACACTTGGTTCTAAAGGTAGCTTTTTCTCTAGTATAAAGTGGCTTAATCTCATCAAAATTATTACTGTTTTGCTTAAACTCCAGATAAAACTGTATTTGTGTGTGTGTGTGTGTGTGTGTGTTCCTATTCATTTCCAGATTCCTCGTGAAGAATCCCATCCAAACTCTCACTGTTCCCTTTGATAATGTCCCAGTTATTCTAAAATGTATCCCCGTAAGCAGATAGATACTGATTCTGTGCAGTCTAGTTTATGAACAGCTAAACCTTTTCACCTGGAAGCCTTGGCGCCGCTTTTGCTCTACCGTGTGTTGAGCTCCGGAGCGGGTTAACAATAAAGCGTGTACACACACAGCTGTGCTGAAACACAGTCGATGTGAAGATAATAACTGTCATGCACTCCCCTTTTCCAGTTGTGATGGCATCGTTAGCATGACACGTAGGAGACTGGACTCTGTGCATACATATAGATACTGTCTGGATTAAGGTGAACCGTTGAGAATGTCTGTGAGGTATTATCTCGAGTTAACCGATGGGGGAAGACCCATCGTTATTGTGGGCGGGACCATTTTTGGAGTAAAGGATCCAAGCCGTATATAAAGGAGAGCACAAGTTGAATGTGGCCGTCCAAGGTCTGAGGTGTGCAATCCGACGCGGACTGTGGATCAGTTATCCAGCTGCTGAGATCAGTTATCCAATGCTCTCACCTCTGTGGGTTCCCTACCAGGAAGGACTGTCATCCGGATTTGTGAGCCAAATGCGCCATTTCTCCTTTAAGTTTGTCCGATTATCTAATTCCAGAAGGGAAACTGAGTCATCAGCACTGTTCCCATAATCTGAGATAAATCGATTTACCAACAGGAAAGTTTGGTTTGTCTTACGAATTTGGTTCCAGCTTATGGTTAGTTGAATCTATTTGTCTGAAATCTTTGGTTCGTTTGTGCATCATGATGGGGGGGAGTATGATAGAACAAAGCAATCAAATAAGAAACCTAGACAGATTAAAAAAAAGAAATAAAGGTCCCTATCCCTCCTTCAAGAGCACATTCTCAGTGACAAGAAGAGCTCGCCCATCATTTAAAGGTCTCTATTGTGTTGAGATAGCATGAAGCCGAGGACCAGACTTTTCTCATGTAGGTCTTCATGAGATAATCCCTTTACTTTGATTTGTTTTCATAACATACATATTCAGAGGCTGGCCCTCAACTGATCCTCCTGCTGCCTGATCCAGAGCTCTGGGGTTACAGGTGTTCACCGCCACACCTCGCTCACTGCTCCTCAATTTTATAGCATAAAGACGAGCGTGTATCACTGCAATAATCCACTCAAAGAGATTAGTTCTGGAAACAGATATCTCAGCATGTTTCTCTTACCCAGATGGAAGCTGAAGCTCTCAGAGGTTAAATAATTTATTCAAATTCACACAGCGGGAGGCGTGAGATAGAAGCCGAGAAGTCTATCCTCAGCGTGGACTTCGCAGCACAGAGCAAAATCGAGAACCACATCCTTAGCGTGAGTCACTGTGGTGCCCAAGACTTGGCAAACAACAGCAAAGGGGGCATTAGGGGACAAATTTCTCCATGAAGCATAAAATACTACATTTCTCTTTTTGTTTATCATTGTTGCCACTTGCTACAAAGGAACATTTGACCTTCAGTTGACCTTCAACTCCTCTCCTTTTCTGCGGTTGCTAATTGGATAAGTGGTTCTTGCCGATTTCTGTAGGCTCAGAACTCAGATTCAGGAGATATCAGGAATTAAACGAGTGGGGGAGGATTTGCTGGAATCAGTTGTTGTGGAGGAATATCATTCAGAGTTCTCCAAAATCTCCAGTCGGTTAAACAACTGAGCCACTGAGAAGCCTAAGATAACAGGACCTCTTGAGGCCAGGAGTTTAAGGTCAGCTTGGAGAACACAGCAAGGCTCTGTCTAAAAGAAAATCACCAGGCATGTCTAAGAATTCAGTGTGGCCTGAGGACTTCTATTTGGATTCTGATTTGGGTTTCTTACTCCTAGGTTGAATTCCGTTTCAATTTCACTGCTTGAAGCCATCGGTCCCCCTTATTTCTTCAGTTTGATTTCCTTCTGCGCATTTGGGTGCGGAATGGCTATCTGAAAGCCATTATCAGAGGCCGCCCCTCCCCTGCCAAGGGAAGGCTCTGATCACAGAGGCTTGCAGTGCTTCAGATTATATGCCTCCACAACACCCATTATCTGTGCAGAGAGGCTTTGAGAAAACGCTGGAGAGGCAATTCCACCATCATGCAGCTCTCCTCTGGTGATTATAGTGATACCACAGAGTTGTTCATTTCTTTAGCTACAACTGCAAGATAATATTTTATCAAGCCGTTTACAGAATGTACCAGATGGGAGTGGAAAACCTAAGCAAGGTGCAGATAAAATTGCTGCATACGCTAAGCTTCAGGTCCTTCCCTCTGGCATTTATTTACTGAATCTTAGACATTCAAACCAAAAGCACCTTGAAGTACCTATTAACCTTTTATTTTTGTCTTCGCCGTTAGTCTTTCGTGAAATAATCCCACAGCCTCTCTCACTGATCTGTGTATTTACTGCGGCGTTTGTTTCTACGTTTCTTTTAGAACTCCAGTTCCTGTTTCAGATGTAAATTCTTGAACTCATAAACACTGTATTTCTTTTCTGCCATCCAGCCTATAAAGGACCAGAACCCAGTGTGCCCCGTGATGGAGGGACTCATCAAACCTTGACCCAATATGAAAAGAAGTTTAGATTGTGCAGTGTCTGTACCGTCTTGCGTTGATGGGAAAAGAGCTCAGGGGACAGTGTTAAGTAGGAGGGATGCTCAACTTCTTCTTTGTTGACAAATAAATCCCGTCGCTTATATAACTGGTGCAGCTTTAATGACATTATCTCCCCAACATTGAGGTTCCTGAGGGCTGTTCTCGGCAGCCAATACTGTTTCTATTAAACAGAGGGACAATATTTATTAGTTACTCTGTAGATCATTCTTCAGTGCCTATTTCTTTTTCTTTCTTGGTTTTATTGAGCTCTACATTTTTTCTCTGCTCCCTTCATTTCCTGTCCCCTCCCCTTCAACCCTCTCCCATGGTCCCCATGCTACCAATTTACTCAGGAGATCTTGTCTTTCTCTACCTCCCATGTAGATTAGATCCATGTATGTCTCTCTTAGCATCCTCATTGTTGTCCAGGTTCTCTGGGACTGTGATTTGTAGGCTGGTTTTCTTTGCTTTATGCCTAAAAACCACTTTTGAGTGAGTACACATCGTATTTGTCTTTCTGGGTCTGGGTTACCTCACTCAATGTGATGTTTCCTAGATCCATTCATTTGCCTGCAAATTTCAAAATAACATTATTTTTTTCTGCTGTGTAAATGTACCAAATAGAACTCAAGAAATTGGTCATCTAAAGGACAAATAATCCAAAAAAAAAAAAAAAATGGAGTACAGACCTAAGCAGAGAACTCTCAACAGAAGAATCTCAAATGGCTGAAAGAAACTGAAGGAAATGTTCAACATCCTTAGTCATCAGAGAAATGCAAATCAAAACAACTCTGAGATTCCATCTTATACTTGTAAGAATGGTTAAGATCAAAAATACTGATAACAATCTATGCTGGAGAAGATGTGGGGTAATGGGAACCCTCCTCCATTGCTGGTGGGAGTGCAAATTGGTACAGCCTTTTTGGATATCAGTGTGGCGATTTCTCAGAAAATTAGGAAACAGCCTTTCTCAAGATCCAGCAATACCACTTTTGAGTATATACCCAAAGGATCTCAATTGTACCACAATGACATGTGCTCAATTATGTTCATAGCAGCATTGTTTGTTATAGCCAGTGCCTATTTCATAAGTTGCATATTTCATAATGGGGGTATACTGTCAGGTTTTATATCTTACTCAGTTGTATGTATTGTCCCTGGCAATTCATGTAGAGTTAATTACTCTGCACTTGTTATGGCCCTGGCCTTTTTATCAGCACTGTGGAAGACTGGCCTCAAAAACTATCTAAATCTATGAAATCAATAAAGGATCAAATCAGAGACGTGAATTTCTTTGAACTTGGAAGGGAAACAAGTGTATTATGTATCTATTGATCTGCCTACAACCAAGTAGATCATCACAGAAGCTTTCGGCTTTCCATCACCTTGACAGGGTGGCAAGGCAGCAAAGCAAGACACACTCTTATACTTTATTGCTCTCGACCAGACAAGTAACAGATCATCACTCAAAGCAATGATACCAATTAGAAATTTCTGTACAAATATTCCTATCCACTTATTAGCAGTGCTCAAAACCCATAGGAGGAATAGAAGAAATAAATATGGGAAGATGGCATGACAGTATTATTTGGTCATTATTCTTTCCAGTGGTAGGTTGCTACCCCCAGGTCCCCTTGGCTAAGCTGTTACATGTCTATTTAATGCAAGAGCAAATTTTTCAGGAATAAACTAAATAGTCACCAATACAGGCATAAAGTGTGTTGAATATTTACAATGAATGATCTTCATTTCTCAAGTGATAGAATAGTACAGCTTTTTATTGTAATTCTTACATGGGTGAGAAAATTGAGGGCTGATTCAATTTTCTATTTTTTAATAATTCTCCAACTCTCCGGAGTTAGTAAGTAATAAGGCAGGAATTCACACTTTCCTCTATCTAGCCCATCTATCTAACTTACAGACTTTTTAAAACTCTGTATAAGACATGCAACTTGGGATAAAGAGAGAATACAAAATAGGTCTTAGAATGTGTGTTGGGAGCATAGTTATTATTTTCTCTACTCCATGAAAAAGAAGCAAGAACAGTGCTCAAGGTTCAGAATGTGTGCATGATTTTCTTTGGAATATGTGATTAAAATCTGAACAATGAATGTTAGGTACCCCAATTTGTTCAGAGAGAACAAAATAAAATTTCTCTTGCTAGTCAGGTTCCATAACTGTGGAGTTAAGTCACAAAACTTGACTTAACATTTTTCTAGAACATAAACCAGAGAGAAAGAATCCCTAGTTAGGATTCATAAGCCTGAAATGGAAGAAGCTAAAACATGCTTTAATCCGAGAGTCCTGTATGTTGTGTTCCAATTACATTTGTATTCCAAGGAGGCATTGAACCTTTCCCCTAAATTCTGTCTTTAAATGTATAAAGCAATGGACACATAGTCACAAATGAAACCAAATCTATTGACATTTAGTTACCAGGGTTTTGAAGAGTGGTGCCTGGGTATATGAACAGATTCATTAATAAGTTAAGTCACAAGATCTTGCAACAAATCCAGTAACTACTGGCACTGGATCTGGGGAGAATTCAAAGTCTTCAACAGTTAAAGCAAATTCAACAACTGTAATGCTATCTGCAGCACTCTCGCTCATACTGGCAGGGGAAGCTAGCTTTTCTTAGAGTTTAATGACTATAATGATGCATATTTTTCTCTTCCCCAGTTCACTTGAAGGTAACAAAGTTGGGAGAATAGAAACCATCTGATTTTTCTTCTTTATCTTTCTTGATTTTATTGAGCTCTACATTTTTCTCTGCTTGCCTCACTTCCTCTTCCCTCCCCTTCAACCCTCTCCCATGGTCCCCATGCTACCAATTTACTCAGTAGATCTTGTCTTTCTCTATTTCCCATGTAGATTAGATCTATGTTTGTATCTCTTAGGGTAC